AGAGTGCCCTTTTTTATAGATGTATTAAAATTTTTGGACATTTAGGTTATTGCCAATCTTTTACTATCTTGTAAATGCCACTTTGAGTATCTTTGTAGCAAAATTTTTACATGCATCATTGATTATATCCTTAAAATAAATTGCTATCAATACAATGACTGGATCAAAGTGCATGCACAAATTTTAGGGTTTTGACATTTACTGGCAAATTGCTTTGCAGAAATGTCATGCCCATATGCCACTCCCTGAACCCCAGTAGTGTGGGGAAAGCATACTACCTCCTTGAAATGCTGGGGAGGCATAGCCAGTAAGTGCATGAGGTTTGGAATCAGACAGCTCTACCACTTGCTAACTGTGGCCTTAGGCAAGTGACTTCAACCACTCTGAGTCTTCTCCATCTGGGTTGCTTTGAGGATCACATAAGATCATGTATGTGGAGTGTTCAGCAAAGTGCCGCCTCCATAGTAAGTGCTCAATAAACCAAAGCTGTTCTAGATTTACAGCCATTCCTGCCCAGCATTGATGTGTTCTTCCCTGGGAATGGACACACACTGAGCACAGGTTACTGAAATCTCTTAGAGCCAGTGTCTACTCCAGCCTTCACATCAGCCCTGAAGTGCTGCTGCGTTGGGCTCCTCTACTCATTCCTTTCCTCCCCTCCCTTCTTGGCACTGGGTGACTGATGGCAGGGAGGCTCCTCAGGCCTCATACATTACCATTTTGCTTTTTCCTGGGTTGATTACATGGGATGTTGCAAACTAGGAAGAAAACCTATGACTGTGAGCTCAAACTGGATTTATAAACCGAAACAATGATTCATAATAATAACAACAATAGCTATCATTGATTGAGTGCCTATTATGTACCAGGCACTGTGCTAAGCCCTTTACATGGACTGTCCCATTTAATTTTACAACAGTCCCAAGAAGCTCTGAGATGGGAGTGGACGTGCTCAGTGTCACACAACTAGAAAGTGGCAGAGCTGGGATGGGACTTCAACCCTATCTGACTTCACAGTCTGCTCTTAACCACTTTGCATGCTCCTCTCCTCATATAGAAAGGTTTATCGTGTAGGGGTGTGTTTGTGCATGTGTTTGAGAGTGCGTACATGTTTGTGTGTACATATATGTGTGTGAGTACATGTGTGCACATGTGAGTGCATGCATGCATGTGTGTGTATTTATTAGAATAATATTAAGTCGGGGCCTACTACGTGCTAGCCACTACAAGTTCCCGAGGATGTGATAGCAAACAAAAGATAAATGATCTCAGTCCTCTGAAATCTTACTGGCTAGCAGGGAAGACAAGCAGTGAGTGAATGAATGAGGAAATGAAGAAATTACAGATTAGGATTCCTGCTATGAAGCAAATAAACAGCACCATCACAGGGAGCAGCAGGATAACAAACTTCAGGTTGGAGGTTCAGGGACAGCCTTTCTGAGGGGCTGACGTTTCAGTTTATGTGTCCAGAAACTGGTCTGGAATAGGGAGGCAGGGCCACCATGCAAGAATAGAATGGAGAGGGCCGGCCGAGTGGCGTGATGGTTAAGAACTGGCTTGGGATGCCAGAGGGCCCCGGTTCGGGTCCCACATATGAGGGCCAGTGACACTGCCCTCTACAGCTAAGATGCTGAACAACAGCTCAACCTGCAGCTGGGCTGCCGTGAGTTGCCGGCGACGGCGTAGGCTGCAGCCCCTGTGGCAGTGGGTTGCCATGAGCTACTGTGTGTAGCCAGCAGCTGCAGTGAGCGGCCGTCCAGAAGCCAGCGACTGATCTGCCTCCCCCAGGAAGAGCACAATGATGGTGCCAACTTGGTCCAGTGAAGCAACGTCCTCCACAACTAGACTGAAGAACAAAACGACAGCAACTTGTCTGTTCCCCTTCCCCCAATTCCCCAGCACTGTTCCCATCCCCCAATTCCCCAATAAAATCTTAAAAAAAAACAAAAAAACAAAACAAAACAAACAAACAAAAGGAATAGAATGGAGAGACAGTCTTCTGGGGTAGAAACAAACTTTTCAGTGCCTACAAATGCTTTCTAGAAGGTTCTGGAGCTCTTTGATATGTATATGGGTAAGAATGGGTGGTGCCCCTGGGTGTGCTTAGGCAGGGGACCAGTTTTACCCTAAAGGGACAGAGTGGAAAATGGAAACTAGCACTCTCTGAACAGGACCTGGTCTTCATACCAGAGGCCTCCGGAATTCTAGAGGCTTGGATGGGACTAAGATGCAGGGTCAAGATGCTCAAGAGGTGCAGTCTATGGAGTGGAAACATTTTGTGTTCCCACTGAAAGAAAAATCCACCCTGCCCCAAGTGTCCTAGAATCAAAGTGTTCCTTACCTGTTCTCCATTCATGAATGTAATTGGGGGTTTTAGAAGGCAGCAGAGTCTTCCTGGGACTCCCTCTCTCATCTCCAGAGGTAACTAAGAGGGGAAACTTGGATAAGGAAGTGTCATCAGGGCCACTTCTAGTAGCAGCAGCAGTAACCTTGAGCCAGTCCAGGCTGCGGTTTAGGAAACCTTCACTGGTTCACAGGGTAGAGGGGCATGATTGAGAAGTGGGCTCAAGAAGCCTCAGAAAGAGTGACCCAACAAATTCAGGGTGGGCACCACGGGACACCAACACCCAAGCCTGGCCTGGAAAAGTGGCTTTCCCAAGGCCCATTATTGGCTTCCTGTGAGTTTGGGATTAGGATACTCTGTGCCTCCCCACATGGTACTGTCCAAACTGTGCCCTGGTGCATTCAGTGACCAAATGGGACCTTGGACGGTGGCTCACAACCCACTCCCCTTAACATTTCAATCAGAGAATTCTGGAAAGGAAGCAGTTAAAAGAAATATTTGAAACACACTGGGGACCTGCATTCAGTGCCTAGGCCATATGCATATCTGTAAGGCCAGTTCAGATGGAAACTGCCCAGTTGTCAGAGGCTAGACATTGTTTCTTTTGTAAAAAAATGTTATTGGGGACCAGCCATGGTCACTGGTTACACATTGCTTTCATGCTACAATAGCATAGTTGACTCTTTCAGGGAGGGTGCAGCTCACAGTGGCCCCTGCAGGGATCGAATCGGCAACCTTGGTGTTATCTGCACGGCACTCTAACTAACTGAGCTAACCGGTCACCCCTAGACATTGTTTCTAATTTGTACTTAGGACATGCAGTACCCTCAATGAATATGAAACATGGACAGTGATTATACTAAGTCAGCTGATTAACTCTATTTGTGCTATACAGTGCCCTGAATTGCTACTGGTCTGCAGATAATCAGTTTTCAAAAGTAGCATGCATCCCCAGGAACAAATCTTAATATATGTTTCCTTGCTCTTGATTTCATTAAAAGAGGCCAACCATTACCCGTTGTTCATTGTGAATGATGTGAAGTGTTGGACAGAATGTCTGTGCCACGTAAGTTAGGGCTTCTTTTTTTTGCTCTTATCATCTGTATGACGTGAGAAGCTATGGTGATGGGTGGGGGCATACCAGTATCCCTGGGCAGACCTCTCTGACATTTTTATCATGTGCCAAATCCAGGCAAATTGAACAGTCAGGAGAGTTAGGAGAGGCACATCTGGAGGAGGAGGAGACCAGACCATCTTCCTTTGTCTGTACACCCAAGCCCCCCACCCCTCATTTTCTTGGCTAGATGAGAGGCTCTAGGCTTTAAGTATCATCTGCCAGAGCTCTCTCCCTCCTCCCCTCTTGCCTGAGTGAGTGTTGAGAATGGGGAAAACATCCATCTGTGACATGAACTAGCCTAGACTTCTTGAGAACTCAGATTCAGCCAGTACTATAGGCACAATTAGAAATAGTGTCTGAGACCAAAGGAGACTCTATCCCATTAGCCAGTCCATAAGAACTTCGCAAGAAGAAACGGAGTTACTGCTTGACCTTGAGCATTGTGCTTTTGCAGGAAGAGGTCCAAAGAACAACTTCCCCACCCCATCTCTTATCACTCTAGCTTAGATCCCTACTTGGCTAACCTACTTTGCTAACTTGGTGCAGTCTCTTAATAACCCCATGCCCCAGATCTCTCTTGAAAATGGGGTTTCGATCCCTAGACTTCAGTGAGTGATACCGAAGTGATATACCCTTTATAAAGGCAAGTGTTAACACCCTTTATAAAGTTTGGTGGCATCCTCCTATTCTGTGTACTCAAAACACCAGCTTTAAAATAAAGCCAAACAACAGCAACAATCAATCACAAATCACCTTTAAGCAAGCAATTCTTCTAGAAATGTTTCCTTGAGGGGCTAGTTGGACAAGGGTACAAAGATATACTGGGAGCACCAAAAAAATAATGTATACAAGTGGACACTTTGGTCAACGTTGCTCAAGCAGTAGCTCACTATAATCAGAAGTGTCTGGACACTGATGATAACCACTTTGAGCACCTCTTGTAACTGCAGAAGTCAAACATGACTTGTATTCATCTTCTGTTACCAGTATATATCCAGTATTACAATCCTAATACAGTTTTTCTTTCTTAAAATGTGTATATATTTTTTTCGCACCCTCTGTGTGTGTGTGTGTGTATGTATACACACACAAAGGTGCTCATTGTAATTTTGTTAATATAATAGAAAAATGGAAATAACTGAGCTGCCTACAAATACCATGTTCGTTAGTCACAGTACTCCTTATTGATGGAATACTGTGCAGCCACTTAGAAAACTAGTGTTGGCTCTATTCATTGTTAGGGGAGGATACTTGTGATATTCTGATGATGCGAAAGCTGTCTTAAAAATAGTATGAAAATAGTGTGAAAACATGTTAACATGACCAGAAACAAATCCTAGAAAAGGAGCACACCTAAAGGTGAACAATGGTGGTCTCTGGATATGATGATTAGAGTGTGCTTTTGGTTGTTGTTGTTTTTCTTACCTTTTCTACATTTTCTTCACATTAAAAAATATAGTATGTATTAACCAGAAAAACATTACTTGCATTTTAAAAACACTAAACACGTAATATGTCTTCTAAATCTTCCCTCCCCAGATATTGACATGCCTCCAAATCAGTGGCGTTTCTCTTCTCAGTGGACAAAGCCAGAGCCAGAAGTGTCCTTTGCAGATGGTGCCGCCAGCTGCAGCATGAACGGGTTTGATCCCATGGCTATGGATGAGTACTCACTGCCCCTGCCTGGGAGCTCCTCTGTTCAGCCAGGAGAGCTGTGGCATTTCTCCTCCCCAGCCAGCCCCAGCTCCCCAGAGCCTGATTTTGACTACCCTCATGCCTTCTCTGCTGAGCAACTGTTTGCAGAGGACCAGCCTGATGAGAAACATGGGCCCCTCCTAAGTGTCCTCCAGCAAGACAGATGTGTAGCCCATCGTCAGCAACTGGACATGTGGGAGAATTGCGACTCTGCCCAGATAGCTGGAAGCATGGGATTTCCCTTCAACCTGCCTTCCAGCCCAGGCCACTGTAAGGAAATGCCTCCAGATACTTGGGGACTTGCCTCTGATTGGTTGGGGTTGAGAGTGAGTTGGCATGAGATGGGGTGTCAAGACTAACTGCTGCCACTCTGGACGTGCGGCTTCTGAGGGACAGAATGTTCTGCTTAAATGTTCCATATATCTTCACTAAGCTTCATTGACATTCACAGTTTAATGACTAAAGGGTTACGTAGAGAGCCAGATCGATGGAGTTGGCCAGGACTATTCACCCAGTCTATTGACTTGGACTTATCCTATAAAAATGATGGGTTGCTGCCTACAATTGTAGGGTGGGCATTTCACCTCCTGTGAGCCACCAAATAATCCATTTGTAAAACAGAACTCAGTGGCATACCTACAGGCTCAAACTCTATCCTCCAAACAGGTTGGCAACTTGCAATGATGCCAGGCTCCTGGGCAAAAACAAGGGCAATCTATACCAGCCATCTGCTCCACACATTAAAATTCAAAGCGACTGTAGAGGCAGCCCCATTACTGCCTGGAGATCGGCACAGTGCCTGGCTATATGTGGCTCGCGCCTGCACACTGGGCTCCTCGTGCGCGCTTTCCCTTGGGTTTCTGTTCCCTGACCATCACCCGTCCCCCTGAACTAAAACACTTCTTCACTCACTCACTCACTCACTCACTCAACAAATATTTAATTAGTGCCTACTAGATACAAAATACCCATCAAAAAAACAAGACTCCCTTCTTTGTAAAAGGATGCGGAAGAATTGACCTGAGGTATGCTTTCACCAAAAGAGAACCCACTGTACTACAAGATGTGCCATTCATAGGAAATATTGGTAATAACGTATTTTACAGTTTCATGGGGCCAAACGTACATCCTCTGGCATTCTGTGCTCTGGGTGAATTTTCTTTCATAGCTCCGCAGTCCATAACATATCTGTGGTTCTAGTGTCCTATGCCTGAAAGAAATTGCTAGACACTGCCTTGACTCTGAGCTAAGTATATGGTACACAAAGGGCCTGTTCAGCATAGCCTCCCTAAGCCAGGCACTGTGTTCCATCCTAATGTTGAAAACAAATTTCCCATTAAAGTACCGCTCCATCATTTCCAGAGTTTGATTAGGAATGTACTTTAAAAGAGTAAATCATAAAAATGTCATGCCTGGGAAACCGATGAAAATTCTTACCCTGTACTCTTTTTCAAAAATCTGCTCCTACTGGATTCAGAGGGAAAAATTAGGCCAACTGTGTTTGTATATAGCCCTGTGCATCCACACAGCAGATCTCCGTTTCAACAGTGGGTTACAATACAGATGGCTCAAATTATCCCTTCCCAAACATAACAACTCTATATAGTTCAAATCTAATCAGCAAATATTTAGTATCTATTGTATGCCAGGTACATTATGGCAAAACTATAATGCAGGCATTATCCTAGTCCCAAAACCTCTAGAGTCATTGTCAAACAAATGTTTATCACCGAAGTCTTGACTGCTGCAAACTCTTTCACACCCTACTATTAATGTTGACATTAGTCATATTAATTGGCGACTGATGGCTCAGGATCTGCTGATGAAATTAGCAGCCCTTAATCAGGAGCACTGCCTATAAGATGGGAACAACGCCCAAGGGGCTTAAAAACAGAAGCTTCTCTGTTTCCGTAACATCTAAGAACATATGCCAGGTGTCCACAAACTGATGGGCCAGTGTTTGGGGGGCCCTGGGGTGCAACTTTGCACTTACTAACCCAGCCCTAGCGATTTCATTTTCAATCATGTTTCTTTTCTAGGCAAGAAACGATATTTCCCCCCAGATCGTGGACCTGCTAGTACCAGCCTTGCAAGTGAAAGTAAGTGTCTGCTTCTGCTTTTTTTTTTTTTTAGCTGAGCCATCCTGCCACCAGTTGGATGCTCAGCTCGGGCCGGGAATCAAACTGGTGTTGCTCAGAGCTCAAACTCTTGAGCAAGTTCCTAACTAACTGAGCCACTCTGCCGGCCCTGCTTCTGCTTTTGATAGTGGGTCTCTGTGTCCTGAGAACAAAGTTGAGAAGTTTGTAGCATAAAAATCAGGATCTCCAACAACTGAAAAGACCCTCATTTCTATTATTTAGTTTTCTATAGTTATAATTTGTTTCATCTTAGTCTCGAAGAGCTTATGCACTTAGTATCTTATTAAAACGTATTGACCATTTTCTTCTTTTGCCGTACAAGCAACCCTATTGATTTTTTTCTGAGGTTACTCAGAAAAGTGAACAAGTTCATGAGGATTAGCTTGCTCTGTCCCAGATGTCGAATTTTCAGCCTAGAACATAGGGCCACCCCAGGACTCTGCAGTCAGGGAAAATGCCACTGGAGGCCACAGGCCAGGACTGTGGGGTCCACACTCAATTTGAAAATGGTGTCAGTAGGAACTTCCAAATGAGGACAATCTGGGTGAAATGACATGAAGCTCTTCATGGCTTGGGTTCAAAGGCGGCTTCATTACTTACTGGCTTCAGGAACTTGATTCCATTACTTAACCTCTTCATACTTCAGTTGCCTCCTTTGTAAACTGAGGTTTAACATAGGGTCCACCTCATAGGGTTTTTGTGAGGATTAAGTGAAATAATGTAAGTAAATGCTTAGAATGTAGATCCTAATGTAAATCAGCCACAGTAAGCCATGAAAATTAAGCCACCAAACACACGGTAAGCCTGGCACATAGTAAACCATCGGAAAGTGCCTTTTTGAAGGGTATCCTGTGTGTTTCTGACTGTGTTCCGTGTTGTGTGTTTGAGAGGAACAAAAGGAACGGCTGCCACCCTGATGTCTTAACAGTCACTTTAGTCTAGTGTGGAGTGGTGGGGAAGGGCAATAGATGGAGCGGACTAGAATGTCAGCTCCTTGAGGGACTTTGAGGGGTGTGCCACCACATCCCCGGTGCCTGTGACCGTGCCTGGCACAGAGGTCAGCACATATTTTATGAATGAGTGAATGCTGGAAACAATAAAGATATTGAAGAAGGAAGTGATACAAATATATCTGCCAATGTAGCACAATTTTTATTTGTTTGTTTGAAGCCCTTGTGTAAGACAGGCAAACAAGCCACAAACCAGCCTCAGTGATCACTTGGCCATGCCCAAGTGAGAAGATAGATTTAGGGCTGGTTCAAGAGGCTTAGCATGGCTGAGTCTGGCTTCATATCAGTCTCTGCCCAAGGGAATGAGCTCTGCTGGTCTTCTAATTAATGAAATTCAGGACTATAAAGTCTCCCACATCTTTATTAATAGTTTATACATTTTTTAAAATTGTAAGCCTTGGAATTACTGAAAACTTGAGGCTTTCAGTTGTTCATAGACCAAAAATAACAGCAACGACATGTATGGGTGGTGACTATGAGCCAGATACCCCACATACCAACCTGCTCAGTCCCCACAATGACCTTGGGATATGTGTGTGAGCATACCCTAGGCGCCTTACATATTAGGCATTCAGTAAATAGGGATTGAATCAATGAATAAATATTCCCATTTTACAGATGAAGAGACTGAATCTCATACAGGTGAAAGGACTTGCCTTAGGATTCCAGCCAATGCAGAGGTGTTATCTCTCTGTTCTGTGTCATAAAATCATCAATATCATAAATTACAATAAACAGAAATCATCAAAAACAATTCCACCTTAAATCAAGTGCACAACAGTGGAAATTAGCAACTGGTAAGATTGTTTCACTGCATATGGGTTCACTGTCTATCTGAAAAGTCCCGGAAGTGTATGAAAAATGGGAAAAAGGCCAGTGTGGCCAGAGTGTAGTGAGAAAGGGAGAGTGTGCCACAAGACCAGACTGGAGAGGTAGACGGGCCAGGTGACACAGGGTCTTATGGGTCATGTTGAGAGTTTGGATTTTATATTCTAAGTGACTTGATGATCCCTGGAATGCCCTTATTAAGTCCAGTGTGCATTTAATAAGGTCTCATAGGCTGTTGTAGAGAGCATAGATTGGAGAAAGGCAAAAATGGAAATAAAGAGACCAGTTAGGAGGCAAGAAGCATGAGAATATGATAGCCTGGGCAAGGCAGCAGCTGGGGAGATAGAAGTAGATGTATTTGAGATCTATTTGGGAGGTTTAACTCAGGATTTGCTAATACTCCGGATGGGAGTGGTGAGGAAAAGGAAGAATTCAGACTAGCTCTCAGGTTTCATGCTTGAGCAACTGGTAGATAGTGGTACATGTATCAAAATGAGGAAAATGGACCATGTTAAGTCTGAGGTGCCTATAAGATATACAAGTGGACATATCTTTTAAACAGTTGTATATGTAAGTGTGGAGTTCAGAATGGAAGTCTGGGTAAACTTTTGAGGTTGATCGATATGTAAATGACATGTAACGCTATTGAATGATAACCTAGGCAGAGGGTGTAGAGCAGAAGACAGAGTCCTGGGAGGTGCCAGTATTTAGAGGTTGGGGACATGAGGGACCAACAGAGGATATAAATAAGGAAGTTAGTGAGTGAGGTAGGAGGAGAACCAGGTGAGTGGGGTGTTACAGAAACTAAAAGAGAATGTTTCCAAACAGAGGGAGTGATCAACTTTGTCAAAGAGATGAAATAAGAGAAGAACAGAGAAATTTCTATTGGATTTGGCATCGTAGACTTTGAATACCTTACTAAGAATAGTTTTCATTATGTGATATGAACAGAAGCCAGATTGGAGTGGGTTGAAGAGTGAATGGGAGATGAGAAAAGGGAGATAGTAAGTGCCAGCTGTTTTCTTAATTTTTATTTCATTTGATTGGGGAATTGGGGAAGGGGAAGAGTGTTGGGGGATTGGGAAAGGGGAACAGCCAAGTTGTTGTCCTTCAATCTTAGTTATGGAGGGCACAGCTAGCTTAGCTCCAAGTCCAGTCACCATCTGGCTGCTTGCAGCCCTTCAGCTAAAGGTGCCGTATTCAATCTTAGTTGCGGGTGGGCATAGCCCACTGTCCCATGTGGGAGCCATCCGGCCGCCCATTGGCATCTCAAGGCAGCTCAGCTCAAGGTTCCGTGTTCAATCTTAATTGCAGGTGGGCATAGCCCACCGTCCCATGCGGGAGTCAAACTGGAAACCTTGTTGTTAGGAGCATGTGCTCTCACCAGCTGAGACATCCTGTCACCCATTGACAGCTCAGCTCAGGAACAGCTCACTGGCCCATGTGGGAATTGAACCAGCGACCCTGTTGCTCAGAGCTCGTGCTCTTAACCAACTGAGCCACTTGGCTGGCCCAGCCAGCAGCTTTTTAAAGAAATTTATCATTGAAGGGGTAAATAGAAATGAGGTAGGAGCTAAAGAGACTAGTAGGGTAGGGCAGTTTTTTTGTTTTTTTTTATTGCAAATTAATGATAGAACTATTTGTATGGTAATGGGAATGATCCAGCAAAGATGAAGAGCTCGATGATGGAGGAAGATGAGGATAACTTAATGGGTGAAGTCTTTGAGAAGATGGAAGGGACGTACGGAAGCACTGACATTTGCTAGGAAGAGGGAACATTCTAACACTGAACACGTACAAAACAAAAATTAATTTGCAGGCTTGTTCATTAGTACAGAGTACTAATTAAATGATTTCTATTTTCTCAGTCAAGTATGAGACAAGATCATCAGCTGAGAGTGAGAATATGGGGTGTTGACGAGGGTGGGAAAGTATGAGAAAGTCAGTCTTCTTGGGCATTGGAAAAGCGAGCTTTCTCATAGACAACCATGAGCAGGATTTCTGAGTGCTGAGCTCAAGTCTGAGATCATGTTTCAAGTGGAAATGGTCAGCTGGGTTGTGTGATTTTCATCAGTGCTGATAGGTTAGTGTAGGTAGTGCACAGAGAAGGCAAATGGTGAGGCTCAACCAGGGTGAGCACGGTGAAGAGGAAAAGGAGTTGAGGGTATTTGCAAGTGAGTATCATCAAGGACCATTGTATCTAAGCTGCACAGAGAAGGAAATGGAGACTGGTGAAGGGCAATGGGTAGGGGCAAGTAATGGAATGAAGGATTAGGTTATGTAAAAATGCAGTAATAAGACTCTTAAGTCAATGACATGGGAGGTGGTGGTTGGAGAGTGGATGTTTGAAATTGAGATGACAAGGGTGCCACCTGTGTAGGTGATGACAAAATCTAGCCTGTGACCATGGCAGTGTCTGGCTGAGATAGAGTGAGGTAAAAGGTCACTGGAGTTGAGGAGATGACAAGAATCATGGAAGGGAAGCAAAATAAGAACCAGTATCTACCTACAACGCAGGTGCTATTTTTATCCTTATTTACAGATGGGAAAATGGAGGTTTAGGGCGATTAAGTAACTTGCCCAAAATCAAGGTGAGTTAAGTGCCAGTCTGTTGTCTTCTGACTTCAAAGTCCTTGGTACCCACTAAGCTAAGCTGCAGTGTGACCACACAGTAATTCCACTCTACTTCAAATAAAGACACTGCCTCTCTGCCAAAATAATAGCTAACATTTATTGAGCATATATGTGCCCAGCACTGTTTTAAGGGCTTTATGTGTGTTTAACGCACTTAATCCCTACCAGAAGCTTAAGAGGTACGTATCATTAGTACCCCTATTTAATAGATGAGGAAATTGGGCCCAGATAGGCTAGGTGACTTGCCCAAGGTCACACAGATAGGCAGTGGCGAGGTCAGGGTTTGAACCTGGGCTCATTTGACCCCAGAGCCAGCTGCTTCCTCATCATGCTTATCCTGTTTTTCAGGAACCCAGTCTTCAGAGAAAAAAGATCTATTCTTTTACTGAACTTTGTTTTGAAGAAGATGATTTTCTACTGTGAATCCAGATGGTCTAGCAACACCAGCGTCCTTTTCTCTTTTTGCCACTAGAGAGCACTGAGTTGGGAGCAAGTTTCTGTTTTCCCTAAAATTGTATACTTCTCTTCCTTGATTTCTATGCCCTATGGCAGGGGTTTCAATCTTGTTAAGTGAACCCCCAGCGTATAAAAAGAATTGTTCAGGGATTGAGAGCATAGAGGCCCACCTGCTTGCTTATCCCACCCTGCCACCCACCCACAGCTCCCCTACTTAGAAATCATAGTCCCCTTATCCTCCACCAGCAGGGTCCTTCAAACCAGAACTGACTGTGGAGTATCCTATGGGCTTGTCCCACTTTCCAACTGAATAGAAATACCAGGACCAGCTGAAAAGCTTTCCAGCCTCCACCAGACTGATGCCAACTTCACTCCTGCCTCTACCAAAATCAGTGAAAATGGGGTGGGCAATACCCATTGAGAAGGGGTTGAGGCTGGGCTTTTGCTGCATCCTTAAATTCTGGACAGAAGCCGAAAAGATCTCAGGCTGGCCCTGATGAATGAAATACTTTTGCTTGGCAAATGTGATTCCTTAATTCTGAAAAAATGATTCCAACCAGAATTGCTGAGAAATCTGAGAACTAACTTATTAGAAGTTAGTTAGTAAGCAAACTGCCTCATTCCAAACTGGGCATAGAATAAGTTCTGTATCCAGAGCATTGCTTAGCTTTAGTTCCATGAGTTACTGTCTGCCCTCACTCTGAGGGTGGGGATGCTGGCATCTGACACCCCACACGTGTTCATCTGGATCTTGGCGGCACCTTGCAGCCTTCCACAGGGGCCCACCTGGCTTCCATAAACATCGTAACCTTTCACTTAGTTCTTTCACTGTTAGTGACATCTGGGAAATATTAACTTTCTTTTCAGCACAGAACCGTTGGGGCCACCCATGTGGATCGCCCACAGCATCTTAGATGATTTAGAGATGAAAGGCAAGGCTTGGTCCAAGACATGGCACTGGGACCTCTTTGCGGATTGCTCCAGATAAAATGACAAGTTTCTCCAAACTCATTTACCTCTCCAATCTAGTAGACAGCCTTGTGGCCACTGTGAGCTTGGTACCTACCTTGTGACAACCCCAGAAACCCCTGCTGTCAATGTTCCCCATTCACATCCCACTTGCTCCTGTATAAAAGCTCAGGGTGAATAATAAAATTTCACTTTTCTGGATTACGCTGGTCATGATTCTAAATTCTTTTCCATCGTGATCTCATGCCAAGTTCCCAAGGGCCCTGGGATTGGCATTATTATCTTTACATAATACCTGTGAGTACTGAGGCTCCCAGTTGGTAAATAGCCAGGCAAGAGCAGAGCCAATGCCGAAGCCAGGTCTCTGACCTCAGAGCTCTTCTCTCCACTATAATACTTAACATAAGGATAGCTCTTAGATTTTTTCCCTCGCATCTGCTATGTAAATAAAGATTGCAGCTCTTGCATGAGTGATTTGGTGACTTTGGCAGTAATACAGTAATTCTCCTATCTCAAACAGTTTTTCCAGTGTGTTACATATGTGTGTTTCCTAGATTTAGTAAGAGGAAATTTTCCGGTACATTTCCTCTCAAGGTTATTTACCTTTAAAAACCCTGTTCTTTTTTAGGTGATGGTTGGGAATAGTCAAGGTGAAGGCTGATTCTAGCACTTGTGACACAATTATACAAGAGAACGTTTATCATGGCTCACTCTAGACAGACTTATCTGTGTAAGCAGATAACATGTACCATCAGAATTGAACTCTTAATATACTATTTAGGAAAAAGAAGTGATTCCAAGAGGGCCAACATCTTATGTAGCCTGGGTAATCTCATAACAGTTGCTGCAAATCCCTCAGAATGGAAGCTCTCGATTAAGCTGAAGGCAGTAATCAACTTTTCCATTTTAATAAATGGAAGGAAAGGCCTTCAGTCTCTGAGAGACCCCTGTTCCTCTGACAGGTAAATCCCTACCCAGATCAACTACTTAATCCCAGACTTAGATTTCTGGCTTTCTATATCCTATTTTTTTTCCTTTCCCACCTCACTTTCCAAAAAGCTAACTTGAAAATCATTTCTTTGACATTTTACTCTTGCAATTAAAAGTATAAGATGTGGGGCAGCCGGTTAGCTCAGGTGGTTACAGCGCAGTGTTCATAACACCAAGGTTGCCGGTTCAATCCCCATATAGGCCACTGAGATGCGCCCTCCACAACTAGATTGAGAGAACTACTAGACTTGGAGCTGATGGGTCCTGGGAAACCCTCTGATCCTCAATAAAAATTTTTTTTAAAAAAACCCTGTAAGATGTGTGCCACCCTTCACACACAAAGGTGGGGTAGCTGGCCCCTGTGTGTTGTCTGCATGGCTTCATCTACATGCCTAGTTGATGATCTTGTGAGATGATACTAGTTGAAGGGGGGTGTGGAATTAGCAGATCGATCAAGGTTTGAAACTGGAAATGATGGTTTGAAACAGGAAAGTTGGAGCTCAGGTGGGCAGGAACCCATAAACCTCATTCACATCTTTCTCCACAGTTTTGAGAAATTGACAAATAGCCTAATCGAGTCTGACTCACCAGCTGCTGCCCTCATCCTCCCCAACACACTCTCATTCCTGAACTTTACAATTTAGAAGAATGAGGATTGCTTTATATGGGCTGTTAACTCACATACTTGAATGATTTTCCTGTCTTGAAGAAGCAAAAAAAAGTGACAATATCCTTTTTATGGTAGCAGACTATCTTCTAAGAATTTCAAATAAGAATGTTTGTAGATCCAGTGGAGACTTGTGTTTAAACACTTTCCCATTCTAAAAATCAGTATTACATGTAACACTAAAGTCCTCCCTCCACAAATACATGTTAACTAGAATATAACAGCTATCTTTCTGCCATATAAACAATAAGCTCTGCCCTTTTCGTAATTGTTTCCCTAGTTTGACATAATTACTTAAAAATAATTTTGTAAACCATATGTATTTTCAAAATGTGAAGTAATAATACAATGATCCATTTCAATTCCTTTAATGTGTAAGATTTTAAAATAGTATGTCACTGAATTTTTATGTAAATGAACTGGGCTATAGCACTTTCTTTTTTTTTAAGATTTTTATTGGGGAATTGGGGGGATGGGAACAGTGCTGGGGAATTGGGAGAAGGGGAACAGACGAGTTGCTGTCGTTTTGTTCTTCAGTCTAGTTGTGGAGGACGTTGCTTCACTGGCTCAAGTTGGCACCATCATTGCGCCCTTCCCGGGCGAGGCAGATCAGTCACCGGCTTCTGGACGGCTGCTCACTGCGGCTGCTGGCCGCTCACGCTGGCTGCTGGCTACACACGGTAGCCCATGGCAACCCACTGCCACAGGGGCTGCAGCCTACGCCGTCGCCGGCGACTCACGGCAGCCCAGCTCCAGGTTGAGCTGTTGTTCAGCATCTTACCTGTAGAGGGCAGTGTCACTGGCCCTTATATGTGGGATCCTAACCTGGGCCCTCCAGTGTCCCAAAGCCAGCTCTTAACCAACGCGCCACTCGGCCGGCCCTCACTATTTCTTTATAAATTTAATTAAGATTAAAATAAGCCTCAGGGGCCAGCCGAGTGGCTCAGTTGGTTAAGAGCTTGCTCAAGAGTTTGAGCTCTGAGCAACAGCAGTTCGAGTCCAGCCCGAGCTGAGCAGCCGCTTAGCTGCCAACAGGTAGCAGGATGGGTCAGCTAAAAAAAAAAACAAAACAAAACAAAAAAGATTAAAATAAGCCTCAAAGATCTCAAAGAGAAGTTTTGTTATATTTTTCTTCATTTTAATGATTCTGCATGCCTGGATGCAAGTTGAATGTATTTACAGCAGTTACAGTTATTTTTTAGATGAAGACTAAAAAACACACACACTGATCTTTCAAAATGAGTAGTGTTTTCTTAATACCACTGCAAACCTGAACTGAGTTAGGATACCTGAGTTCAGTCCGGCTCTGCGACTAGCTAGCTGTGTCATCATGAATGAGTCTCTCTCTGTGTCTCTCTCTGTGTCTCTCTCTGTCTCTGTCTCTCTCTCTCTCTCTCTCACACACACACACACACACGCGCGCGCGCGCACACACACACACACACACACACCCCTGGGTCTCAATTTCTCTATAAACTGAGATGATCCCTAAGGTTCTAATTGCATTTTGAAATAAATGTAGTAGTTATGACAAGGCCTATCAACAGTTACCATACTGGGCTCAAAGAAGAGGACAGACAGTGTCTGGACAACTGAAGAACAGAAGGAGGAACTGACAGCCCTGGATTTGCCATTCAGCTGTAAAGAGTGAAGTTAGCTGAGTGCCTTCACCTGTTAGCTCCTTAGGATCTGCTTAAGCCGTATACTTTGCGGGCAGCCCCCAGCCAGTGACTAAGCATTATGAGGGTACGAGGGCCTGGTCATTTCTGCCCAACACAGTACTCCTCTAATGGGCAATATATGATCCAGTTTCTGTTGAGTTGTCTGAAACTGCCAACTCTGCATTGTGGACTGGATCTCTCCCCGGTTAATTCTGCTTCCTCCCCATTTTATCGTTCATGGGTGTTTCTCACCAAGCCCCCATAAACTTCTCATACCCCTAACTCTCAGTGCCTGCTTCCTGGAGGACCCAGCTGACAAACATAGCAACATTTAAGAGCAAAGATGCAGAAATCTCAAGACTCATGGAATAGTAGATGGTGATTAGACTAATCCAACTGGAGTGAAGCATTCAGTTTGATAAGCATTTGAAAATTAAGTTGGAAAGGTAGATTGGGGTCAGATTAGTGAAGTCGATTGACACTGTCACACAGGAGATAGAGTTAAGGTTGGTGCCAGAGTGGAGCCCTAGGTCAGTTCCAGCCACATCTTCAGTCACCTACCTGGACCATCCTCCAGGCCAGCAAATGAGTCTACATAACAGAAGATGGTTACTTGTGCGGACCTATGGGGTTTGTATCAATGATTCCCCAAAATCCCACTGGAGGCATCATTATCACCTGGGGAGCTTTGTGAAAATGAATACTCTTGAGTTCTGCCCTAGACTTACTGAATGCAAGTCTCTGGGGATAAGAAACACTTCCCCCATCTCCCTCCCCTCTCTTCCTCTAGAGATCTGCTGCACAAAATGTGAATGTACTTAGCACTAATGAATGGTACACTTGAAATAGGATGGTTAATTTCATGTTATGTGCTTTTTACCACATGTGAAATAAAAACAATTCTTAGAGAGTTCTGGGGACTTTGAAACAAAGTCCAAGAAAGAGAGAGAGAGAGAGAGAGAGAGAGAGAGAGAGAGAGGATGAACACGTTATGTTCTTTGTTCTAACAGTAAGTGTGTTGCTTACTCTTACTCTTGTAGTCAATGCAGACCTAGAATTGTCAGATTACAGATGTGAATCTATTGTACTCATGACAAAGTGAAGAGTCAAGGCACAGAGTTCATAATAACAGCAGGGTGAGGGAGCTGATCATTTCCTTGCACCTATAATCTACATGTGGAACAATCTACAATGACCTGAGCTCTTAAAGAGTCTCTTAAAGAACCATTAACTTAAAAAATATTTACTTCATCCAAATGGGAATGAAGAAGTCAAATTGTCACTTTTTGTAGATGACATGATTCTTTATATAGAGAATCCCAAAGACTCCACCAAAAAACTATTAGAAACAATAAACAAATACAGTAAAGTTGCAGGATACAAAAGCAATATAGAAAAATCCATTGTGTTCCTATATACTAATAATGAAATTTCAGAAAAAGAAGTGAAAAAAATTATTTTTGTAATTGAAACTAAAAGAATAAAGTACCTAAGAATAAACCTAACTAAGGATGTGAAGGACTTATACACTGAAAACTATAAGATATTATTAAGAGAAATTGAAGAAGACACAAAGAAATGGAAAGATATTCCATGTCCATGGATTGGAAGAATCAACAAAGTTGAAATGATCATATTACCCAAAGCAATATACAGATTTAATGCAATCCCCATCAAAATCCCAATGGCTTTTTTTTTTCAGGAAATAGAATAAAAAATCCCGAGATTTGTATGGAATTACAAAAGACCCCAAAACAATCCTAAGAAAAAAGAACAAGGCTGGAGGTATCACACTCTCTGACTTCAATTTATACTAAAAAGCAATAATAATAAAATATCATGG